AGTGTGCAGGGATTAAATGTGCAAGTTCTCTCCTGCCAGAGTGTGCAGGGGGCTAAAGGTGCAAGTTCCCCCCCTGCCCCTGAGGAGTGTGCATTGGGGTAAACATTTCCATTCCCTCCCACCAGGGGGGGGTTAATGTGCAAGTCCCCACCCACCACCCCGCAGTGTGCAGGGAGGTAGACGTGCTAGTTCTTCTGCCCCCCCCCCAACCGAGTGTGCAGGGAGGGTAAACATGCATGTTCACCTGCCACTGTAGTGCGCAGGTGATAAACATACAAGGTTCCCCACCCTGGAGTGGGCAGGGAGTAGACGTAGACGTGCACGTTACCCCCTGCCAGGTGCACAGGGTGTAAATTTGCAAGCTCTCCCTCCTTCCCCATGAGTGCACAGGGGGTAAACATGCAATACCCCAGAGTGTGCAGTGGATGTACGTGCATGTTCACCTCCCTGCCCCAACCCATGGTGTAGGGGATATAAGTGCATATTCCCTTCTTCCCCCACCCCGCCCAATGGTGCAATGGATATATATGCACTTTACACTCCCCCAAGGGTGCAGGGAGTAAATTTGAACCACCCCACCCCAACCAGCTTTTGAAATAGCATAGCATAGGTTTGAGTAATGTGGCTGAACTTATGTGAGATTTGAATATGCAATTTTGACTATACCTGGAGTGCTGTACTCTCGGATGCCAACTTTTGGACGAGATGTAAATTTAAGCTTTGAGTGCTGTTATTCCTGAGAGTCAAAGGTCACATACCATATTGTGTACAAGAAGGAAGGGTGTTTTCCTGATGTTCTGGCCAATAACGATCTTTCTAAAACTGATTATCTGGTCATTAAGCGCATTGCTAGAACCTTCCGGTGGGGAAAGTTGGCCATCACATTTGCCTCATTGCAGCAATGTCTATACTTCAAAATCATTCATTGCTTTTGAGGTTGTGAAAGATGTTATAGAAATGCAATTAATTAATTCGATTGTCAGTAAAAAAACAGAATTATTGAATTCAGTATCAAAACACTTAGTAGAGTGTTTTGACAGTGCATAATAGTAGAGTTTAGTTTCATTTTGAGAGGCACATGGCGCTTTTCTTAAATTTGTCCTAGGGACGCACGTGCTACTTGCTGGGCTACCATTTATCGCCCATCCCTAGCATTATTATGGAACATAGAATAAGAGTGTAAGGGATACAGTGTGTACAATTACAGGCATAGTAAGGGTCACTTTTCATTTTCCACTTGGGGACCCTGCAGCCTTCTTGACTCGGTACCGAGTTCAGCAGCTTTATGGCTTGAGCCCCCCCATGTCCTTACCCCAACCCCACACACCAGTCCTTGCGATCACGTAGTCTACTATTAGACGCAATCCATTGTTAGCCATTAACAGTCCCCATTAATAGCTATTCAACCTCTTAGACAGATCATTATCCACTTCTTTGTCTATCCAACTGTTCGTCTGTCTCTTTGAGCTCTATCCCCACTTATCATTTACTCCTTACCCCCTCAATCACCCTATCTTCTGCATATAAACCGACAATTCCATAGCCACCATCTGTTCTGAGGAAGGGCCAGTTGACCCAAAACATTAACTCTGATTACTCTTCACAGATGCTGCCAGACCAGATAAGCTTTTCCAGCAACTTCTGTTTTTGCTTCTGGTTTCTTTGCCTTTGTTTAGTTTATCCAAAATAAGGTTATTCATAATTTTACAATATATGTAGAAAGGATAAAACAGTAAAGCATAACCGTTCTACAAGTGCGTATATAATTCTTTACAAAATCAAAGACATATGTACAAACAGTGACCTGGAACTTTCCAAACAATATAACTGGGCATAGCACCAAAATTCACTGCAAATCTTAACTTGCATAAGACACGGTGTTTGAACCATCTAGCCTCGATGTTCCAAGCTTACTACTACTTCTCCAATTATGGATGCAAATTAAGTAATTAAGGCCAGCTACTGCTTGACACATTAAATGCAACATAATTAAGAAAATACAATTGTGGAAGCATTTCACATTTTAGTGCAAGCCATCCTGTAAACATTCATTCAACGTTGCAGAAAATACACTTTAGATCGTTGAAGTAAAATTCAAGAAAATATTGCTGCAAACAGGCAATAAAAGGGCATCAAAAACATTGAATGCTCTTGCACCCAACGTTTGGAGCATGACGTTTCAAGCTACCCTCAATAGCCGTGAGTTCAGGGAAGTTGCATGGAATGTACACTTTGGACACAGTCGAGAGCAAAGGGGTGAAGGTTATGTCAATAAGGAGTAGAGGATATGAGCAGAGGTTCTGCAGAATTGGCCTAAAAGATTGAGGCAACTCAGGCAGAGAAATTCACATCCTCCTTACGTAGTTTCTCAGGAAGCTCCAGGTCATATGTTAAATATTTTCACATTACGTACACGTCTTATAGTGCAGCATCAAGATATATACAGCAGGAAAGGAGAACGAACTTGCATTTACATAACCCCTGTACAAGCACAGTCAATCATAGATTCATACAGCACAGAAAAGGCCCTTTAGCCCATTGAGTCTGTACCATCATAATTATCACTAAAGGCATGCTAATCCCAATTTCCTACACTTGTCCCATATCCTTCAGTGATATTTAAAGTGCTATTCCAAATATGTTTTTAAAGGTTGTAAGGTTTTCAGCTTCCACTACCTTCCCAGGCAGTGCCTTTCAGATTCCCATCATCCACTGAGTGAAAAAGTCTTTTCCCAAATCCCCTCTGAATCTCCTGCCCCTTACCCTACAACTGTGCCCTCTCGTGATTGACCCTTCGACCATGGTGAACAGCTGCTGTCTGTTCACCCTGTCCATACTCTTCATAACCTTATACACCTCAATCATGCCCCCCTCAGTCTTCTCTGCTCTGAAGAAAACAATCCAAGCCTACCCAGACTCTCCTTATGGCTCAGTTTCTCCATCCCAGGCAACATCTGGCAAACCTCCTCTGTACCCCGTCTAGTGCTATCACATCCTTCCGATAGTGAGGTTGGAAGCTGAAGTCCAGGACAAACAGGGTAGTTATCTCTGGATTACTACCAGTGCCACGTGATAACGAGGTAAGAAATAGGGAGAGAGTGTAGCTAAACACGAGGCTACAGGGCTGGTCTAGGAGGGAGGGCTTCCACTATGTGGATAATTGGAGCACATTCTGGGGAAGGTGGGACCTGTACAGTAAGGATGGGTTGCACCTGAACCGGAAGGGCACAAATATCCTGGGAGGGAGGTTTGCTAGAGCTGTACGGGATGGTTTAAACTAGTTTGGCAGGGGGTGGGGAACCGGATTTATAATTCAGAGGATGAGGTATTCGGCCTTCCAACAGACACAACAGGGAGTGAGGTGGTTTATAAAGAAATGCGGTCGATGGAGCGTAATTGCAGACACCGAGATGGTTTCAGGTGTGTATACTTCAATGCTAGAAGTATCAGAAATAAAGCGGATGAACTTAGTTCCAAGTACCGACCCATGGTCTACGATGTTGTGGCCATTACAGAAACTTGGGTAACTCGGGGAGAGGAATGGTTGTTGGAAGTTCCGGGATTTGGATGCTTTAAAAGAAATAGGGAGGGTGGAAAAAGAGGTGGGGGAGTGGCATTGCTAGTCAGGGTGAGTATAGCAGCTACTGAAAGGCAGTTCGAGAATGATATGTCTACAGAGTCAGTTTGGGTTGAGGTCAGGAATAAGAAAGGAGCAGTCACTTTGTTGGGGTTTTTTTTACAGACCCCCCTAATAGTTGCAGAGAAGTAGAGGAGCGGATTGGGAGGCAGATACTGGAAAGGTGCAGAAGTCACAGGGTTATAGTCATGGGTGACTTCAACTTTCCAAATATTGATTGGAAACATTTTAGTTGTAATAGTTTAGATGGAGCAGATTTTGTCCAGTGCGTTCAGGAAGGATTCCTGACACAGTATGTAGATAGACCAACACGAGGAGAGGCCACTTTGGATTTGGTGCTTGGCAATGAGCCGGGCCAAGTATTAGACCTGTTGGTAGGAGAGCATTTTGGCAGTAGCAATCATAACTCTGTTTCTTTCACGATAGTCATGGATAAGGATAGGTACATACGGCAGGGTAAATTTTATAATTGCGAGAAGGGTAATTACAATTCAGTGAGGCAAGAACTGGGTAACAAATTGGGAACAGGTGCTGTCAGGGAATAGCACCACAGAAATGTGGAGATTGTTTAAGGAATGCATACTGCATATGCTCAATATGTTTGTCCCTAGCA